CTGCATCCAGAGGAAGTCTTGGAGCCCACTCACACCGGGCGCAACTTGCCATGCAAGTTTCAAATCACATGGCAAGTCGCACCCTGTTGTCCACAATTAAAGCGTCATATCGGTGCGATTCCAACTTGGTCGGAGCCGCACCGATTTCTAGTGCATGCACCACTTCAGGTGCGATTTGCATAGACGTGTCTTGCAAGCCACGGATGTTTTAAAAGTCACACCGCAAGTCAGAATGACATCAGACTTTGAAGTTGCATTATTTCAAAGTCGGATCGGTGTGACCAGGGACTAAAAGTGGTTGTAAACCCCCACACACAGCCAGTGAAGTGATTGGCCTCAGGTGATAGATTACCACTTGCCAACCACAGATAGCCGAATGATGGCTTCACTGCGGCTGGCCAGTTCTGGGTGGGAGTCATATGACATCCTCCCAGAGCGTGCACCCGGCGGTCTCCATGATCACTGTGTCCTACAGACACAGCAGTTCATGTGGTATAGTAAAAGGCCAATCACAGCAGCCTTTTACCATGTGATCAGCCGTGTCCAATGACAGTTATCACCGGAAAATGCAATTGCCTGTTATCGGCTGCACTTTCCTCGCGCTGTCACAGCATGAGGAAAGTACTGCCGAGAGCTGGCAGTTGTCAGAGGGGGGATTGGCACCAATCAGGGCACTGATGATCAGTGCCACCAAAAAATTACCTGTTTGCAAAATTTTATAATAGAAACTATTTGTCAAATTTTTTGCTTTTTGTTTATAGTGCAAAAAATAAAAAACACCCAATGGCGAGTAAATACCACCAAATAAAGCGGGTGTGTGAAAATGCCCTACTTCAAAAGGGCAGAATTTACACAGCATCTCAGCTAGCTCTGAAAAGCAGGGGGCGGGGAGCTGAAGTTACAGAGAAGAGAGCTCTGAGAGCTGATTGGAGGGAAGGGACACCTCCCTTCACAGAGCACACAAGGACAGAGCTGAGGCTGTCAATCACAGGCTGTGCCCTCCCGTCACCATTTTTTCTCAGTGTCAGGAATCCTCATCAGAAATGAGGAACAAGGCAACAGACAGAAATGACACTAGGTGCTCTGGCATGAAACATATACACACTATAGAATGATGTGTTTTGTTCATATTTCATGTCTGGGGTTTTAACCACTTTAAAAGGATAAGTAAACATTAAAAAAAAAAAAATGCACATCTTTTTGTAGGTAAAAAAAAGTGCATTTTTTTACTAGCTTAGAAAGCATTGCACCCACAATAAGCAGATCGCTGGTGCCATGCAGGACTCCTGCAGACCTGTGTGCCCATACCTCTTACAGGCAAGCAGATATACACAGACAGGAAGAGAACAAACTACCTCAGCGCTCAACAGCACCATGGTAGTTCATTGAGAACTACAAGCAGACAGCTGCAAAAGCTGTTGGGGCTTAGTTTTACATTTACAGAATTCTGTGAATGAAGGAGGTGGCCATGTTTTTTTTTTTTCCAAATATATAACTAGCGACAGCCAACAGGGGGGGGGGGGGGGGGGGGAGAAGATCCAGTGACTCCAGCAGTGGGAACATGTTCCGCTTAAAAACCAAAAAGGTGAATATATTCCTTTAAGCCAGGGCTCAACAAACCCCAGGTGACTAGAAATTGCGTCTTGGCTACACTGCAGCAGGGGTCTTGTCTGGATTCGGTCTCCCCATGTGGCCCCCCGCACAGTCACTAAGCTCAAAAGGTTGCGCTGGCCGGTAATTGAGGCCATGGCTTTGCGGACTGCTGAGCAGAATACAGCGCTCACCATTTTGTTTGTGGGCATTGACATTTGTCCAAGAACCAGCACGCTCTTCTGGTGGGTGGGGCTGTTATGAGCAGTCACCGACAGCGCCCGCCATCTTCACCGAGCGCATTCCTTGCCTGCCCTCACTGTCTGCCCACCTCCTTCCCTGTTTGACAGCTGGGTGCTGGGGTTGCAGGCTTGAACTGCCACCCTTTCTTTGCCAGTGAGTGGACAGGGAGTGTGGGCAGCTGCCTACAGCGCTGGGCCAGCTTCAGTTCCATATCTGTACACAGTGGCCCCATCCCACCATACTTGATGTACCCCCCCCCCCCATAGACAGGGACCCCTATTACCAGACCATGCTAGCCGGGATCCAGTACCCACACTCCATCAGCAGAGAGACAACCCCCCATCTTCCTGTACACAGGGGGCCTCCATACCCCCCACCTACCTGTACACAGGGGCCTCCATACCCCCCCCCCACCTGTACACAGGGGCCCTCCATACCCCCCCCCCCCCCCACCTGTACACAGGGGCCTCCATACCACCCCACCCACCTGTACACAGGGGCCTCCATACCCCCCCACCCACCTGTACACAGGGGCCTCCATACCCCCCCCCCCCACCCACCTGTACACAGGGGCCTCCATACCCCCCCCACCTACCTGTACACAGGGGCCTCCATACCCCCCCCACCTACCTGTACACAGGGGCCTCCATACCCCCCCCCCACCTACCTGTACACAGGGGCCTCCATACCCCCCCACCTACCTGTACACAGGGGCCTCCATACCCCCCCACCTACCTGTACACAGGGGCCTCCATACCCCCCCACCTACCTGTACACAGGGGCCTCCATACCCCCCCCCCCACCTACCTGTACACAGGGGCCTCCATACCCCCCCCCACCTACCTGTACACAGGGGCCCTCCATACCCCCCCCCCCCCACCTACCTGTACACAGGGGCCTCCAAACCCCCCCACCTACCTGTACACAGGGGCCTCCAAACCCCCCCACCTACCTGTACACAGGGGCCTCCAAACCCCCCCACCTACCTGTACACAGGGGCCTCCAAACCCCCCCACCTACCTGTACACAGGGGCCTCCAAACCCCCCCACCTACCTGTACACAGGGGCCTCCAAACCCCCCCACCTACCTGTACACAGGGGCCTCCAAACCCCCCCACCTACCTGTACACAGGGGCCTCCAAAAACCCCCCCACCTACCTGTACACAGGGGCCTCCAAAACCCCCCCACCTACCTGTACACAGGGGCCTCCAAACCCCCCCACCTACCTGTACACAGGGGCCTCCAAACCCCCCCACCTACCTGTACACAGGGGCCTCCAAACCCCCCCACCTACCTGTACACAGGGGCCTCCAAACCCCCCCACCTACCTGTACACAGGGGCCTCCAAACCCCCCCACCTACCTGTACACAGGGGCCTCCAAACCCCCCCACCTACCTGTACACAGGGGCCTCCAAACCCCCCCACCTACCTGTACATAGGGGCCTCCAAACCCCCCCCACCTACCTGTACACAGGGGCCTCCAAACCCCCCCACCTACCTGTACACAGGGGCCTCCAAACCCCCCCACCTACCTGTACACAGGGGCCTCCAAACCCCCCCCACCTACCTGTACACAGGGGCCTCCATACCCCCCACCTACCTGTACACAGGGGCCCCTAAAGCCCCCAACACCCATCTACCTGTACACAGGGGGCCCATACCCCCCCAACTTCCTGTACACAGGGGCCCACATCTCACCAGCACCCTATCTACGTTAGCACAGCCCCCCCCTTCCCATCTCCCAACCTCATACCCTGTAGAACACCACATCTCACGCCCCCTCATGTGATGCTGCTCGCCGCCCCACCTGGCTTCTTTTTTATCTGGCTCCTAGATTCAAAGCAAATTTGTAAGCCCTGCTTTAACTCACATCTAAAAAGGCCGCCTATCCGCCCTCATTCACCTCTCTAAACAAGACCCAACTGAAGCTGCACAGAATATACAATTCAAAGAATTAAAGCAGACAGGTTTTTGGACACAAAAGGTTTTTCCTTTAATTAGAAATTTAACAGACATCTGTACATTCCAAAACATAACCCATACATACATTCTGGCGATGATCCCCGCATCAATATAAATTAGAAGCATACAGCTTGAAGCAGGGTGGACTGAGAGCTTGATAAGGCCCATTTCACCACATCACAGGGCACAATGAGGGGCATGTGTTGGCAAGTTCACTTAAAGGGAACTGGTCAGGAAAGCTGTTAATCATAGCCGGGTTTCACATCCAGCCCCAGGGGCGATCCCAGAACCAACCTCCCTTTAAGAAAGCTTCCAGGACTAGATGGGAGTCTTGGCTGGATCACAACTGCTGTTCTCACCAGTCCCCTTTAACACTTGAGCAGATGTCTATAAATGGGAGACAAATCCAAATTTAAGAGCCACTCTGGTGACATACTAGAGTGGGGGTTCTTTAACGCCAAATGCAGGCTGAAACAGACCTCTGAAAAAAAAAAAAAAAAGCCACTTTAAGGTTTTCCTTGTCCACCCACATCCCCCAACAGTTCTCACAGTTGGTAGACTGCATTATAAAGTAGACAGTGCAGGAAAATATGGCCACCCAGAGGATTGTTCACTGGCTGCAGCCTCATGGCCATCATGATCAGAGGCGGCTTTAAATTAAAGCTTTAGTTCCCTAAAAACTACATCAACCAAATTGTACAGAACACTGACACGATTTGATACTGCAATGTGAAATGAGGGCTGATGGAATGTGATTGGTTTGGCAAATGTTTGACCAGGTGTTGTGACAATGGCCAATGTACCTCACAAGCCCCTTGGATGGGGAGGAAATATTCAGAAGTGGTTTTAGGGGGGATCACAATTTAAATTATCCTAGTTGGCCACTTCCACACAGGGAAAGGCCAGGGAGTATACTGCGGAGGTGGCGCAGATGTTTACTGCAATGGGAGCCAGGGCCTAAGGGCAGGAGGAGACTTGGTGACAAGACTGAAGGGGAGGGGATAAGGAGAGAGGATATGGGTAAAAGGGATAAGGGAAGATTGACAGATCATCTTCCATTACAGGGTTAAAACAAAAACTGTAAAAAATATATATAAATTTTGAGTCTCATAGAGACAGAACGATCCCATTTCCCCTCTCCTATCCAAGACATGATCGCCCAGGGAAGGGGGAGAGCGCTGGTCAGGAGGAGAGACGCCATCTTTAAAGCTCATCTTTCTGAGGTCCTTCGCTTTCCTCTTCCTCCTCGTCTTCCTTCTCTTTTTCTTCCTCTTCATCATCGTCGTCGTCATCATCGTCATCAACCTCTTCAGGAGGCTCCTGCTCTTTCCTCTTCTTCTCTTCCTCCTCCTGCTTCTTGCGCTCCTCTTCATCCTGCTGTTCCTTCATCTTTTTCTCTCCCTCCTGTATGATTAAAGATGAAATATTAAAACGGGTTTATTTAGTGTTAGGTGTGCCTTAAGTTTTACAGACTATTAAAGAAACTGTCACTGGGGGCAAACGAGTAATTGTGTGGACACCTAAAATTGCAGCAGCCTTCCAAACCTTCCTCCCACAGCTGAATCTGAGGTCACTTCAACAGGCAAAGCTTTGCATTTCCAAATACTGTCAAGGCTTTTTTTTTGCTCCTTCCCATCTCTTTCCTACTAATCAGTGAGGCAGATCCAATAGGAATGCATGAGCGCAAGACTTGGCAGCACACCGTCTGCTAGAACAGCCTGGCATTAGCAGTTTACCTTCTCTACTCCCAATGTCCAAATCAATGGCTTCCTGTAGTATCCAGATTCTTGCTTACGGCACAAGTCCAGAGTGACCCAGTGGTTCCTGAGGTCTGCCAGCTTATACATACATGCAAATTCCATTCTAAGCTAAGGTGTAAAGTGCAAACCCCAACAAGGAGGTCTACTTGATCCCTTTTGGTCTGTTGACTACCATAGAAACCGTTTTATTTGAAAGTGCAAATATACCCGCTATCTGCCACAAACCCATTGAGATCATCACTTCCTGTGAACTCCGCCTGTGCTGAACGTCCTGTTCTAAGAACTGCAAACCCTTTGCGCTGTATTGTTCCCAGCAAGTTAGAGGAATGTAAGAGGGGTATCTTGTAGTCCTGCCATATCCTGCCCTAGGCTGACAATACTGCTGTTCTATACAGTATAGACTGAGCACTGTCACCATAGGCCAGGAAGCATCTTTTTTTTTTATCAGATTTTTATTTAGTGGTGCACTGAAATGAAAACCGAAATGGATAGTTTTTTAAAAATGAATATATTTTTCAAAGCAATTTTTGAGGGAAAAAAAATAAAATAAAACACTGATTAAAAAATATATACCCAAATTTTTTTATTTATTTATTTATTTATTTATTTTTTAAACATGAAAGCTGTTAGGCCGAGAAAACAGATACCCAACATGTCATGCTTTAAAATTGCACAGGCTCATGAAATGGCGTCAAACTGCAATATTTTAAAAAGTCTCCATGGGTGGCGCTTTAAAATTTTCTATAGGTTACCAGTGTAAAGTTACAGAGGAGGTTCAGTGCTAGAATTATTGCTCTTGCTTGGACGTTTGTGGCAATACCTCACGTGAGGTTTGAACACAGTTTACATATGAGCGTGTGGCGGGGCACAATTTTTTTTTCTGTTACCGTGCCCCTAAAAAAAAAAAAAATGTAATCAATTTTATTCATATCACAAGGAGTGTATACATCCCTTGTGATTGAAATAAGTGACAGGTCCTTTTTTTGGCGCATCCCTATTTTTATTAACTAGATTTTTTTACAAAGAAAGTGAAATTAAAAAAAAAAAGTTAAAAAAAAAGGGAACAGTACACTTCACATTTTAATTGCGAAAAAGAATCTAGACAGATATGCAGGACAAAAATCAGTAAAATAAGGGTGTATCGCTAAAAATGAACAAATATATGCAGACAGATATGCAGGACAGGTACATAACACCATTTCTACCATATCGTGCTCTACATATGAGACACTCAGCAGTCATTAAAGGGAGAGGTTAACCACATACAGTATTCAATTAGACTATATCAAAAGTACTAAGGTTATCGTGCCAATTTCACCCTCCACCCCTAAGCATCGTCCTTTTCAGGTCATAACTGATGGAGAAGCTACACTAAATATTATACACTTTTGGTGTCTGAAAATGTCAAGTGAACTCCTTCAGACACCTATCCAAGTGTACAACACTGATACTCTTAGCAAACAGTCAAATTTAAAGATCATGAACTGCAGCACAGCGGCTAAATGGTTAGCACTGGCAGTACTAGGGTTGTAGGTTCGAATCCCAACCACCTGCCTGGGGTTTGCATGTTCTCTGTGCCTGTGTGGGTTTCCACCGGGTACTCCAGTTTCCTCACACACTCCAAAGACATTCTGGTAGGTGAATTGGCTCCTGTTTAAATTGTCCCTAGTATGTGTATGTATGAATGTGAGTTAGGGACCTTAGATTGTACACCCCTTGAGGGTTAGGGACTGATGTGAATGTACAATATGTATGTAAAAGCGCTGCGTAAAATTGGACAGCGTTATACAAGTACCTGTAATAAATAAAAATCTAGCAGGTTGAACCATGCATATCATCTACATATCACTCCACTGATTTATGCCTCATATGGCAAGAGAGCTTCCACCATAGCATGCCAATTTGCACACCTGATTAGGAAAGCTGTTGAACTTGTCCCTTTTATTTTACAGTTTTGTAATCATGCTGACACTTAGGAGGTGCCTGTTTTTTGGGGGGTTTTTTGCTGCCTGTATTCACCTCTGCCTCCAACCTCCTCAGCAAACAACGATTAAGCCATGGGTGCTCAAACCTGTGGCCCTCCAACTGTTGCAGAACTACAAGTCCCATCATGCCCCTGCCTTTGGGAGTCAGTCTTTGCAATGCCACAAGGGATTTGTAGTTCTACCTGGAAAGCCACAGGTTGAGCAGCCATGGATTAATATCTCTATCCTGTGAGCGGATCCCGCATAATTAGCGCCAATGTAAATCATAAAATACTTGGTCAAAAGAATATTCTTTTGCAGGTGAAATATGAAGCATTTATTGGAATTTTAACAGTTCTTAGAGTTTAACTTTAAAATGTATGAGTCCTGTCCTGCTGGAAGCTGCCACTACCAATGTTCCTCCACCTACTGGAAAACCCCATTAATGTGGAGCAACCGCACAGATTTTACTTGAAAGGTCAGTTTCGGTTAGGGAGTGACAGCAAAATAGCTTCACTGTTTGGAAGAGGTGAAAAACTCCATGCTATTATACAGGAGCCACAGATAGATTCCCATTTAAAATTCCCTAGACGGAAGGTTACAGCAGGCATGGCATGTTCTGTTGAACACAAGCGACAGTTCATGCAAACCAAGTCTTGCAACAATAACCAATAAAATCACTTGTGTCCTGACTGGCTGGCGAATGTTCCAGTCCTGTGAGAATTAGGCTAGTAGTGTGCCATCCTGCCTACAACACATACCTTTGTGACTCCCCATGTATTAGTGGCATGTTCCTCTGCAAACTTCTCATCGTCTGTAATCAAGATGTTGTCAAAGATGGTGCCAGATTTCACCTGCGAGGAAGAGCTCATTATTACTTCTGATTATTTACAACCAACCGCTGTTTTAAGGCCATAGAGAAGGTCTGCTTACCTGCCACAGGTCAAAGCCCAAAGCTCCAAAGTCTTCATAGGAGTACAGAGTAGGATCTGGGGTATATTCTGGGTTGTCTATCTCTGGGTGCACCCACTTTCCTTTGTAGTCAGGGTTGTCAATCTGGCGTGGTTTCCACTCTCCCTGCAGAAATGCCACCACTTGTTAGTTCAAGTACAAACCAACCTATCCTTTAATAAGTGCGCCTATGAGAACGGTTACACTACTTCTAAGTCTGGTTTCTATAGAGGACATGTAATTTGGTCTCTGAAAACATGAACAAGGTGAAATGGGTGGAGAGAATCGTCCATGGCTTTAAAAAAACACATCCTCAGCATCCCTTAACTATGCTACAAATATACACATCCCTGTCAGCCAATTAAAGCTGTAGTAAAGCCCGCTTTATGACAACCACTGGCAAACCTTTAAAAAGTATTACCTGTAGGTACAATGAATATCTACTAAACATGTATTTAGGAAATATGAATTTGTAGCTACTGGTAACATCACCAATGCATACACTGTATAGAAATAGACAGCACACTGGAGATTGCTATCTATTGAGTGCTGTGCTGAAACCCTGACTCTTGTGCGATGTGCAGGAGTGATGTCATCACAGCCCAGCCATTCAAACGGCTGGAAGACCAGGTAAAGATGGAAAGGCCCATTAAATGGATGTCAGGTAATGCTTTCACCATGAGATTTTGAAGATCACTTGTTACTTCTGCCATACCCCTTAACAAGGAGATGTGGAACTTCTTCGGGCAGCCTCAAGACATTGACAAGGTGTGGGACATATGGCTGGAATCAGACGCTACCACTATAGAACACCAAAACTGTGGGGACACTACTAGTCCATGCTAAATGACTGCCTACGTTAAGTCCTGATCCTAGGTACTAAGGAGATAAATTTCAATGTAAAAATAAATAAAAAAAATCAGTGCTCTGATATTCTATGGTTTAGATTTTAGAAGGTGGTGGAGAAGGCATAGGTATCCTGGGTAACAATATTCCTTCCTTTTTAGTCAGTCATGGCCTGAGCAACAGTATATTGGCCTCATGAGTCGCAAGGATGGGTTAGTCGTTTTAAATTTACTTTTTTGTTTTCACACCTTGTGTACAGCCTTGAGCCGTGCTATGCCCAGAGGCTGTTTTGTACTCTTATGCACACTGTTGGAGGGCTTCCTTTTTCTGGCAAATCTGTCATTTTGCCAGTATGTGGTGCTTTTATTTTAAATTGCTAAAGGGCCCACTTTTTTTTTTTTTTTAAATTAAAGACTTTACTACTGCTTTAACTATGGGACAATGCACATATAAAGGGATGCCACAGAATCCATGTCTGCAACTACTGGATAAAAAAAAAAAAAAAAAAGTGAGCCTCACTGGGGAAAAAGGAAAAGGCTATTTTTGAGCGATTGCTCAATTTGTACAGATGTATTAAAGCTAAGATGTTTTAAAAACGAATTTACAATTCTATCGTGTACATTTCAATAGGCAGCCATCAGCTGTATAATGTGATGTTTCCAGATTGCCTATATATTCTCCAACAGACAGCAACTTAGAATGGCTGCTTCTGGAACACTTGAGCCATTGGTAGGAAACAAAGTTGAAGTTTGCTTCACCAGGGATGGGCCTTTCAGCAGGAGACGTGACCGATTGCTTACGGTTCTCCAGCACCAAATTTGGAAGACTGAACTGCTTACTGTTCAGATAGGAAGGTTTTTTAGAACACACAACACCTCCAGTTGAAAACTCCTGATTTATCCATAACCTACAAGTTAATAAGCAAAAGTCTAAGCAATAAAGCCTATAGTACTAATGTCATAAATTCAACCCGTTTCAAAAAAAAAAAAAAAAGCATTAGTTTTCAAATATAAAAAAACATGCATTTTTGCATTTAAGTCTGTACAGCATTGAAACCACGATCAGTGACTCTCAGGTGCAATGCTATGGGCCTCTGCAGACACTTCCTCCAGCTCAGTTCTACACTGAGGTACAGATCTCTAGTTACAGAGCTGCAGGAAGGATCAATGGACTACAAGCACTTTCATGCAAGCTGCCCCTTTACATGCATCTTCAGGGTGCTTTAACCCATTTGAAGCGGTCACGTTTCTATAAAGTAAATAGCAAACACGACCTAATGAAATTAAGTGATTTAGTCCACTTAAAAGACAAGGGCAGAAAAACTAAATGGGGGACCCTTTAAAATATTTCCAAGGTCTAACATGCGAAGACTAGGTAAATCACATCTTAACTCAGCAAGGATGAAGACAACTTACCTTGTATTCTGGATTTGTGATGACTGGTGGCTCCCACTCTCCATCCATCTCCTCATCCCAATCGTCTGGTTTCAGTGCATCTGGGTCAGGAATATGTTCTGCTTTGTCCCAGTCCTGCAAAACAAAGGATTAAAAAAAAAAATGAATTAAAACATTTTTAGTGCTTTTATCTACATAGTCATCTGCTAACCCAGAATGCCAACAAATTAAGCTGTGTCTAACTTCAGATATATCCAGCTACAAACATTTTCTGGTAAAGCGGAAGGTTAGTGGTCTTAAATCGAAACTACAGCCTTGCAGTGGCAAGATCAGGGGTGGACTGACAACTGATGGGGCCACTGGGCAATAGGGGATCATGGGGCCCGTGTTCTTGCCCACACTCAAAGCACACCCAAAAAAGCTTATAAAAAAGGTACCAGGGGCATTCCATGGGGCCCCCTACGGACTCTGGGCCCTCGGGCAGTGCCCGAATGGTCAGTCCGCCCCTGGGCAAGATCATAGTAACTCCATTGAGTGGCAATGCAGCTGGTCCTCATTTCAAACACAGAACCACGAAATGTCATATGGAAAGCAATGGTGGGAGATTCCATGTTTGGAATCCAAAGACAGCAGTCAATTCTTACATGAAAGTGCAGAGCTCTATAAAGTATAAAGGTAAATATTAAATGCTCAACACAAAAACCCCTATACTACCCAATATCACATTATACAGTTGTGATAATGGTAGCGGGAATCGTATAGTTTGCTGCTTTCAGAACATAAGCGGTTATGGATTCCACTACCCTCTTCAGAACATTAGTGTACTGTATTAATCAGCAACAGGTGTTACCCTGTGAGGGATTGGTCAGATCAGACACCAACCTCTGGTTTCTTGTCCTCAGGGTCATCAATCTTGGGACGCTCATCCCAGTCATCAGGCTTCTTGGCCTCAGGGTCCTTAATCTTCTTGGGTGGAAGGAAATCCCAGTCGTCCTCCAGGTTGCCAGATTCAACCTTACTGTTATCAATTTTCACCTCGTAGGTGTTATCGGGACGTACAATCAAGGTGTAGAGATGACTGTAAACATCGTCCTGAGGAAGGAAAAGGATCACAGATTCAGATTTTAGATTTAAATCAGTCAAAAACAATTGGAAACAGCCTTCAGTTGCAGACCCATCAATAAGTCACTCTTGTAGTATCTGGCCATTGATTTTCTAATTTACGACTATTTCCAAACTGCAGGCACTGTAAAGTCACGTAGCGGGTGTTGGGAGGCAAAATCTTGTGATCGCAGCACACGTACCATAAAGAATCATACAAATAGTGTAGGGAATGTGACAGGGTCCATGCTGCACCTGGCATGCATTTGATGCACACCCAGTAAGAGGGGTGCACTGGCACCCATTAACAGTGCACACACTTGAAAGCCAGGGCTGAGGGGCTCTGTGCATTAGGAATATTGTCTATTGTCCAGCTGACAGCTCCGTTCCTCATTTCCTGCCCTGAAGCCAGACAAAAAAGGGACCATTCCTCAGAGCAGTGAAAACCAAAATTAAGACATTCTTAACCCTTTACCACTAGCAAACCAGTGCTTTGCATGACATTGGATTTAATGCATTTCATCTAAGGATCTTCACTTCTGGAATATTACTAAAACTAATGCAAGTACAGGGTAAAAAAAAAAAAAAAAAATCACTTTAAAATACAATTACACAAGACAAAGGGGTAGTGGTGCATCGAAATGAAAATTCTGGTGCTGAAAACAATACTGAAAATTCAGAATGCATGTGGAAAACAGAACCGAAAACGTCTGAATATGTGGGGGTGGGGAGGCTCTAAAATTTTTTTTGTATTTTTTTCTACTTTTATGTATATTTTTTTAACTTATGATTTTATTGCTATCACATAGGGGACCAATAGTCCCCTATGTGATAGCATATGAGTGACAAGTCCTCTTTGTAGGGGGGAGGGGGTTGGGGGCAGTATGTGCAAGGAGGGGGCAGGAGAGGAGCAGTGTATACAGTGAGGTAGCAGTGTATACAGAGAGGCTCCCTTACTGGCTGTCACTATATGTCAGTGCTGGTTTTTAAATGCAATTGCCGTTTTTTTTTCCCTTCACTACAGCTCACAGAATTAGCTGTCACTTTCCCTGGAGCCCCTGGACCGTTTCCCCTGGAAAGGAAACGGTTTCTTTTATCTCGGGAAAAACTAAGAGGAAACTTTTTTTAACTTGGGGAAAGAAACTAAAAAGGAAACTTTCTTTTAGCTGGGGGCTGACAGCTGATTCTGTGCGCTATAGTGAAGAAAAAAAAAAATCCAGTAATTACATTTAAAAATCGGCACCGACATAGTTACAGTCAATCACTGTATACACAGCTCCTCACCTGCCTTTCTCAGCCATTAAAGCTGCCGCGCCCCCCCCCCCCCCCCCCCCCACATCTGCAGTACACAGTCTCCTGTATCGGCTACATTTTTCTTATCTCCAAAAGGCTGATAGGACTATTTTCGGCCGATATGTTTTGGTGGCCAAAATTTCGGTGCATCCCTAATAAAGGGTGTTTAAACCCTTTTAAACAGTTAAAAGTTCAGTTTGACGAAGACATCAAAATGATTTACTCACTTTGCATCGGATATCTTTGTTGATCTGCAAGTTCTTCCCCTTGTAGTTGAAGATGACATGCACTTTCTTGGTGGGTGGCCCGCAAATGTCAGGACCTGGTAGACAAAGACGACAGGATTACAAGCCTGCTATAGTGAGGTCATTTAGCCATAGGGCAAGTAGGCAATGCTTTGAGTGTAGCAGCCATGCTGGTGGCCAATTTGCATCTGTGCCTCCTCTTTGGACATACAGGATGCCATGCCTGCATCTCTTGTAGTGTTCATCTGCCATAAAAACCAGACCTGGTTTCATTGACCGCAAGATATGTTGCATATTAACATTCACTTCAATTGAATGGCCTGCCAGCACATCAGACATGCACCACTTTTTCTGCAACAGTGCACCACAAAGAACGATAGTGCATTACTGTACATTGGTGCACTGCAATACATGTAGATGCATTGCTTTAGTGCACTGGGGTGCCACTGAATATTAACCACTTGCCCTTCAGAAGATTTACCCCCCCTTCCTTACCAGGCCATTTTATGTGATACGGCGCTGCATTACTATAACTGACAATTGCGCAGTCATGCAACGCTGCACCCAAATTAACTTTATGTCCTTTTTCCCCACAAATGGAACTTTCTTTCAGTGGTATTTGGGCGCCTCTGCGGTTTTTATTTTTTGCGTTAAACAAAAAATATTTTTTACTTTTTGCTATAAAACATCAAATAACTTTTTTTTTTTTTTAAAAAAACTAAGTTCTACATAAATTTAGGTTAAAATATATTTTGCTAAAGGGATAGCATCTACAAATGGTGATATATACAGGAATTTTTTTGGGGGGTTTTGCTATAAAACATATCCAGTAAAAAAAAAAAAAATCAAATCTAGTCAAAATGGATTCTGCTACGTCTTTGCTAAAAAAACACCCAATATGTATAAATTAATTGGTTTACATGAAAGTTATAGCATCTCTAAAATGGCGGTATATATACTTTTTTTTTTTTAATACTAGTAATGGCGGCTATCAGCAACTTATAGCGGGACTGCAGCAGGCATTCTGACACTGGGGGGACCAATTGCCACTGACATCCACAGTGACACTAATATCAGTAAAAATAAAAAGCACTGACACCGTACTAATGACACTGGGCAGGAAGGGGTTAACATCTGGGGTGATCAAAGGGTTAATTGTGTGCCGTTTTACAAACTGCTGTGTGTGATTTACTAAGTACGTTGCTTTGTAGCGTTCTGCTATGCAGCGCGCTACAAAGCGGCATGCTGGTGCTGACAGGGGAGAGAACTGTATGGTTTACATACAGACCCCTCCCCTGTCAGTGTTCCTCGGAGATCGCCAGGAGCCAGCAGGAATCTCCAGCCGGGACCCAGTGATTGACAGCTGTAGCCACCAATGGCAGAAAGGGTAGGGTGGTGCACACGCAGTTCCTACCCTGAAATACAAAATCACGAGTATGTATCTATATCCCTGGAATGAACATATATTTATTTTTTCACACGTGCGTTTGCACAACCCTGCCATCCTGTAGCAGTTCTGCTGTAGGGCAGTCTGGAAGCGGTTAATGGCACCACTCTACCAAGATGGCATGGTGTGTAGTGCTACGTAGGTCTCAGGGACTGTTGGCAAGCGGATTGGAGTCCAGTCTGATGCCATTTCTGTACAGCTAACTGCTCTGTAATACAAAGCTTCTCCGGCAGGCGGCTTAGGCAAGCCGGCTGCAACATGACTCGGGCCACCAGACAAAGCAGGGAATTTCCATTTAAATAAGAAAACTACAAAATTCAGGCAATAGGCTCAATGTCATTCAGAAAGCCGTGATGTTTTCCCACACCTGTCCTGATAGTGCACTTACCAAACATGATGTTGTATTCTGACTCTCCATGCATGTCAGCCCGGTCAAGTGTGCTTGGGAAAAGCTTCACGTATCCACCGCCACAGTCAATGTTCTGTTCGTGCTTCACTGAGAACTGAACTACAAGAGTCTTGTCTTTATTGGAGAAAGCAGGGAATCCGGCAGAGTGGGCAAAGAATTTGGCATCCTGGCTGGTCTGGAGACCTAAGGGAAGAAGCAACAGTGGTATCTGTTAGAGTGCCAACACTAAACCTGTATACAGGTTACCGAAAATGGCTTTAAAACCTAGCAGTGGGTCTCAGGCCAAGCTAAATACTGTTAAAAAAACCATTCAGTCCAGCTAACCACACTTCATATTGCTTTGCAACTGTACTTGAGTGCATGATGCCTGTATTCTGTTCCTTCGGCAGTCTATGGTGGAGCTGCAGCTGAGCATGACATGCACTGACCCTTTAACCACTTCCCGTCCGGCCCATGTATATAAACAGCCTGACAGGGGCAGTGCAGGGGTGGGCTGCTGTTCATAAATGGCACCCGCCATTTTGGACTGTGCGTGCTCCCTGGGAGCACGCGGCACCGTGATCTGGTGCCCGCTGTGTCCGAACACCGATCGCTGTACGGGACCTGTGTGAGGTCCCGATCATGTGATCACTGATTGGCCAATCAGTGATCACATGAAGAGTAGTAAGCAAGATGTCACTTCTGACATTGCTTACTACGTGTGAAATCTGTGAATGATCACAGAGATCACATGGTACAGGGCTATTCACAACAGCCTTGTACCATGTGACAAGCTGTGACCAATCACAGCTCTCACAGTATTTCTCAATGGCTGCAAGAATGCAGCCAGAGAGATGGAGAAATTAGTGCTTTTACAGCCTTTATGGGTGTAAAAGCAATCAGTGTAAAAAAAAAAATCACTCCCACTAGTACAGTGTCACTATGGTGACACTGTACTGTGAGGGTGACAGTATGTTAAAAATAGAAAAATTTAAAATGTAAACAAAAATGAAAAATAATTTTTGGTTATAAACTAATTTGGGTTTTTTTTTACTAAAAAGATAACTGAATAAATTTTGGCCAAGACTTATTTTTGAGATTTATTTGCAAAATTTTATAAGAAAAACTTTATTTTTTCAAAATTTTTGGACTTTCATTTATATAGCAAAAAAAAAAAAAATAAAAATCCCAGTGGTGAATAAATACCACCAAAATAAAGTTTTATCTGTCTCAAAAAAATGCTTAAAAAATTCATATGAGTACAGTGTTGCATGACCGCGCAATTGTCAAAGTGTGACAGTGCTGAAAGCTGAAAATTGGCCTGACAGGAAGGGGGTAAAAGTGTTCGGACTTGAAGTGGTTAAGGACTTCTCTAGTCTAACCACATGTGCAACAAGCACAGTCAGGGGCGGACTGACAACTCATGGGGCCCCCGGGCAATAGGGGATCATGGGGCGGGTCCTTGCCCAAACTCAAAAAAGCCTATGAAAAAGGTACCAGGGGCATCTCATGGGGCCCCCTACTGACCCCGGGCAGTGCCTGAGTTTCCAAATGGTCAGTCCGCCCCTGAGCACAGTACTACTGAAGACTTGAGCTGACACTCAAATATTAAGTCTGACTGGCTTCAGGGAGTGACATGGGGGGAGTGACATGGGGGGAGTGACATGGGGGGAGTGACATGGGGGGAGTGACATGGGGGGAGTGACATGGGGGGAGTGACATGGGGGGAGTGACATGGGGGGGGGAGTGACATGGGGGGAGTGACATGGGGGGAGTGACATGGGGGGAGTGACATGGGGGGAGTGACATGGGGGGAGTGACATGGGGGGAGTGACATGGGGGGAGTGACATGGGGGGAGTTCCTGTAACATGCCAGCATGAAGAAATAGAGGTCATTTACCTTTGTCTTTCTCTTCATCTCCGTAAAACTTGCCCGCAGTAAGCTTCAGCTGGCCATAGTCTGACTTGTGCTTAGACTGCAGCCAGCGCTCTTTCCAGGCATCTGAAAAAGAAAAAAAAAATGCACATTAGCACATAAGACACACTGACAAAGAGCAGATACAACAGCAATTCTGCAGAGTGCTTGTGACCCGATCACACAAGGTCCAACGGAACAATACCTCTCTAAAGCAACTGCCCATCAAACCTTTGTTTGCCAGAAGTGACTGAAGTATGGAACCAGTTATGAACTTCATCCAGCTTTTACACAAAGGACAGTCATGGGTGTCCTGACAATGAATGCGCTTTACAGCCACTTAATGTCCTCATTGCATTATCTGCGATTCTGGAATAGTCTGGGGACCGTTTGCCACAAGGACATTATTATTATACAGGATTTATATAGCGCCAACAGTGTGCTCAGCGCTTTACAATATAGGACATGAACGGCAATTCATCCACCTAAACCTGGACCCGGCGGTAGAAGAGTTTCACAAATGATCCATTACATAAGTTTACTACTAGCATAACGACTTCAGATTTCTTTACATTAGTCCCAATCCCCGGTACAGCAAGAAAAGGGAAGTGGGGGGTTCTGTTCACGCATTTTACGCTGTCCTAGCTTGGACTGAAACGGATCCCCATTTGTTTGGGATGACTAAAAATGACGACAGAGTGAAACACGTTACAGCCTCTTCCCCACACCTCATGTGATCACTACTTGCGTCAAAAGATTCTGTAATAGAGGTGACACTTGGAGTGAAGCCCTTTGGAGTTTCCATTGACTTCGGGTTGGTTCACACTACAGAATCACAGTCCAGACGTGTTCCGGATGCGCTTATGCATGCACGTTTTTGGTGCGTTCCAGTGCATTTTTATGCATTCCAGTTCACCTTTTCCCCTCTTTCAATTGAAATAGGGACATGTGCATTCCAGTGCATTTTTATGCATTCCATTTAATTTTTTTCACTTTTTCAAATGAAACAGGGACATGTGCGTTCCAGTGCGTTTTTGGTGCGTTCCAGTGCATTTTTATGTATTCCATTTCATTTTTTTCCCCTCTTTCAATTGAAATAGGCACACCTGCATTCCAGTGCATTTTTTAAGCATTTATTTATGCATTTCAGTTCATTTTTTACCCTTTTTCAATTGAAATAGGGACATGTGCGTTCCAGTGCATTTTTATGCATTCCAGTTAATTTGTTTCCACTTTTTCAATTGAAATAGGCACACCTGCGTTCCAGTGCATTTTTGGTGCGTTCTAGTGCATTTTACTGTGTTCTAGAACAGTTCTACACAGGAAAAAATGCAGCCTGTTCTTTTTGCATCTGGAACGCACTGGAACTGCAAGCACAGATGTGAACCATGACAATGACAACCATATCACCTACTTTCTGTGCGTTTTGGATGCAGGAAAAGCACAAAGGTAGTGTGAATTGGCCCTTACAATAGCTCTACAATCTACAGAACCTTTCCCTAAATCCTCCAGTGAACGCACAGCGTATGGGCCCTTTCAAAGCTTGTAATCACAGCCATCCAAGAATGGCGTGTATGCCCCTGGTATCCAATGCATGCAGTAGAAAGCTATGTATCTGTAGCATTTGATTCAGTTGCAATCAGGTTTATCTGTACAGCTTCAACAACTGTCCCCATTACAAGATTCTCGTTCAAAACGGTTTATTGCACTACCACTGGAATTCAGTCTTGTAGACGCGCTTCAGAACGGTCTCATGCTAATGTGACAAGTGGCTGATCTCATGACATTCATGTGTCAGTAAGGTACATAGGAATCAGTTACATCTCTGAAGTGGAGACGTTTCACAGGCAGAGAAGAGATTTACAAAATTTTGGAGAAGAGAAACATTAAATATCACTTCCATAGAAACAGACATTCTTCTGCAGAACAGTCTAAAAGACGTGACTATCTACACCGACATGGAAGGGTCTTTACGCCACTTCCCTCATCACCAATATGGCGGTACGCATTTGTTGAAATAGCACCATATAGGAAAATGATACAAATAACTACCTGAATTTCAATAGAAAAAAACAGGACGGCGCTACAAAGAATGCTGAAAGTCCACAAACTACATCAATTCTCGATGTATAAATATAAGAATCCCCTTGAGTCAATGATCCAAATGTATCAGAATAGTAATGTAACTATTCAGCAAAATAGATGAACATCCAGGTGAAAGTCTCAATCAGGGGTGGACTGACAACTCATGGGGCCCCCGGGCAATAGGGGATCATGGGGCCCCTGTGTCCTTGCCCAAACTCAAAAAAGCCTATGAAAGGTACCAGGGGCATCTCATGGGGCCCCCTTCTGACCCCAGGCAGTGCCCGAGTTCCCAAATGGTCAGTCCGCCCCTGGTCTCAATGCAGAAGTATGATAAAGTTTCCTTCCATTCAAGTGTTCAAGAGGAGTAAAATGAAATCAGAACTCCACTGGTGATTTCATTTTACTCTTGAACACTTGGACGGAAGGGAACTTTCTCATACTTCTGCATTGAGACTTTCACCTGGATGTTTTCATCTGCTATTTTGCTGAATAGTTACATTCTGATACATTTGGATCATTGAGTGGAGGGCATTCTTATCTTGTTTATACGTTGAGCATGGATACGTTTATGTGGACTGTCAGCATTCTCTGCCTGTAGCGCTGTCTTTTTTTTCTATTGCTGTGATCATATGAGGACGTAGTATTTTGTGATATTTTTTTATACATAAGGCTACGTTCACACTAGCTTTGTCAGCAGACGTCAGACATTTGGGCAGGGGTTTTAAACGCTTCTCAAACGCCTATGAAAATTCTGCACAGTGCTGTTCACACTGAAGCATTAGCGTCACGGCAAAACGGGCGCCTCATGTCGAGTCAGGAGGAGTTGAAGCCTCCCATTCAAGTCTATGGTGCCGCTCCTCAAATGCCTGGCAGGCGTTTGCGGTGCGGTTGCAGAGCGTTAATACCATTAACTTCATTATAGGCGTTTGTGGTGCGGTTTTAGCTCTTGGCAAACATTTATCAAACGCCTCAAAACCGCGCATAGGGCGTTCGGGGACAGTTTGAGGAGCATTAAAAACGCTTCCCAAACGCCTGTCAAACGCTATAGGGGTGCTTGGCAAGAGTTAGAAATAGGTCGAGTGTGAACGCACTCTTAGTCTTTTAGATTGCGCACGTCTTAGTCTTTTAGATTGCGCATGGGTGCTTTTATTATTAACTACCTGAATTTGTTGCACGCATCAAGTTTTCATGCGACTGGAGCAGGGCTCCCAACTACATAAAATGCCAGAAAATGTTGAAGGCATTAACTGAAGCGCCCCCTGTATTTGGTGTGTGCATTTTCCTTCAATCAGGTGACCCTAAGGAAATATTTAACGGCTTCTTCTCCAATGACATACCGGTACGTCGCTGGATTAGAAGGGCGATATCTCCGTCAAGATCATTTCTTACCCCCGGTTTACATATATACGGCCGTGCGGGCCGCGTTTTGCATGGGCACGAGAGACCATTCATCTGAATGGACTCCCATGCCACGCAAGGAAGAAGTCCCTGCACGTCATTGGAAAACGCAGCTCACGCAGGAACCTCGGTTCCCAGTACGGTTGCGTTTTCCAGTGCGGGCCGCGTGCCATTAGAACTAATGGCACCCACCCGCGGGGTCCACATTTCTCTGTGCAGGTGGTGCGGCTGCACGGATTTTCACGTGGCTCCACAGCAGCACCACCCGCACAGATGTGAACCTAGGGTTAGGGCCAGCGGGCCCCTTCAATGTAAGAGCAATGCTAGCAGTTAAAAAGCCACTGGATTACTTTTACAGGTGGCAGAAGGGGAGCACACCCCCCCCCCCGCCCCCCTCCCGCCACCACACCATGCAGTTGGGGAGCCCAATGAGGATGCGACTGGCGGCACCCTGTTCCTGAGACACAGCGGGAAGGAATGGAGGTTGTTCCTCCCACTACAGGATGTCAGAAACCAGAAGCGACGAGGATTGTCATTTCTGATTTCAGTCTCATGTTTTTACCGGCTTGTGAAGCATCAGATCACACCAATTTTGGTACGATCAGATGCTTTGGTGGCCAGAGGAGGGGATCTGTGGTCCAAGGACCCCAGAGCACTCCATAAAGAGGACCTGTCATGGTGCATGCGATCATAAAGGGATGTTGTTCATACCTAGTGATCGCAATAAAAAAAAATTTTTTTTTTAGTTTTCTTTTAATGAAAAAAAAAAAAATGTAATGCTCGCTCATGTGCACAAGGGAAAACATGCATGTAGGTCCCCCGCACATATGTAAATAGCAATCACACCACACGTGAGGTATTGCTGCAAATGACTGCTGCCCCTCTCTGCCAATCCCTTCATTGGCTTCCACTAACCCAACGTATAAAATTCAAAATACTAACCACAGCTTACAAAGCCATCCACAACATTGCCCCTAGCTACATCACCAACCTCATCCACAGATACCGCTCAAATCGCTCACTCCGCTCCTCCCATGATATCCTCCTCTCTAGCTCCCTCATCACCTCCTCCCACGCTCACCTCCAAGACTTCTCTAGAGCCTCTCCCATCCTCTGGAACTCCCTACCACAGCACGTCCGGTCAGCCCCCACCCTGTCTGCATGTAGGCGATCTTTGAAAACTCCCTTATACAGGGAAGCCTACCCCACCTCCACCTAAGAACTGTACTTGAATCACCTCCACCAGATCATCCCCCGCAGCTATCACCTTTTGTATCACCTCCCCCTTCCTTTAGATTGTAAGCTCCACGAGCCGGGCCCTCCTATTCCTTCTGTACTGAAATGTATTGTAATTGTACTGTCTCCCTTATATTGTAAAGCGCTGCGCAAAGTGTTGGCGCTATATAAATCCTGTAATAGTAATAATAAAAATGTCAGAGCACGCAATATTTTAGCGCCAAACCTCCTGTGTAACTAAACTGGTACCCTGTAAAGGCCTTTAAAGCATCGCCTATGGAGATTTTTAGATACTGACGTCTCTAAGTTTTCTAGCAAAAAAGTGATGCTTTTTACAAGTAGGAGAGGAATATCAGAATTGGCCGGGA